ACAAACAAAGACACAAAGAATATTATGATCAAAATATTGAAAGGGAGAGACACAAGGAAAACTATGAGTTGAGCAGAGAGAAAGTTTTAGCAAACCAAGCGCAGAAAATTATGTGTGGATGTGGCACACTTCATCGCAAAGGCGACGTATTGAAACATATAAAGACTAAAAAGCACCAACGATGGCCACAACAACAAGAACAACCAGAACAAGAACCATAATTAGAACAATTGGATTAAAATACCTTCTTTAGTATAATGAGCAATAGTAAAGAAGATATAATAAAAGATAATTATTTTGACAAGGGGGGTTTTGGCTCACGAAATTAGAACAGAAAGGCAAGCCACATGCGTATTATGAATTCCAAATTGAATTATTTTTCACTAATTATATTCCAAACCAAAAGTTTAAGATTGGTATGATGTGCATTGACATATTTTCTAAATATATGGTTGTTGTCCCGCTTATGTCAAAACAGCCAGCGGACATTTTAGCAGGACTGATGGAATGTAGTAAAAAAATGAGTGGCAAATGTCGCTTTTTTATATTGACGATGAAGGAGCTTATAATAATAATCAAAGTGTTGTAAGGGTGAAAAAATAGAGCTGCGCAGAACTAGAGGTCACCCAGCATTCGCGGAGAGGGCGATAAGGACGTTTAAAGATAGCTTGTATAAGAGGGTTGAAAACGATGAGAAAAAAGGAAAGGCTATTCAATGGACAGACTACATACACGAGATTATATTAACTTATAACAATGGAATAAAGCACACTTCACACGGCTTAACACCGTCAGAAGCAAGGAAGCCTAAACATCAATTAGAAGTGAGTTTAAACTTAGGTATGAAAGCCAAAAGAAATAGAGTTTATCCAGATTTAAATGTAGGAAATGAAGTTAAGATATTCAGGAAAAGGAGACCGAATGAAAAGGAGCGAGTAGGAAATTACACAAAGCAGACTTACAAAATAGCAAAGACAGAAAAGAAGTTAGGACAGGAATATTATTATATTGAAAATTATGACAGGGCATTTTTGAGACATGAGTTATTAAAGGTATAATTTTATTTCTTGGAAAAAAGTTTTTAGAGAAATAAAAACTATATATATTATAATAGAAATGGTGGAAACCGAAATCAATAATTATAGCAATAAAAAATGCGACGAATGTTGCCACTTCAAAAAAGAAAATATGGAATTGTATAAATTGAATTTACCTAATGGAATAGTTAATGATTTTACTGGGTATTCTTTGGGTAAAGAAAATTTATGTAAAATTTGTAGAAATTGGAGATATTACCAAAAAGCAATCGAATATAATTTGGACATTAAAAGGTTTAATGAAAGAAATGTTGAAGATGACATTTTGATATTTTTAACTGTGTATGAAATACCACCTTATGATTATGTTAAAGCATTTCTTGAAATCAGTAAGAAAAAGCATGAAATTATTTACTACATATTATGGGCCTTGATTTATCAAAGAAAAAGAGGGTTTGATGTAAAAAAATCATTAAATCATATATTGAAAGTGAACAGTTTAATGTTAAAAATATGGTGTTAGATATTAATATTATTTTAAAATGATGTATGAAAGAGGTAAGATGTATCAATTAAATAGTTATCCCGAACTGAAATTATAATCATAATATAATAATAACATGTAAAAGATTATATGTAAAATTTTTATTTCAACATTTAATTTTATTTCTTGTAAAAAAGTACTTAAAGAAATAAACACCATATATATTATAATAGAAATGGAGTTTCAAAAGCTACCAGTTGAAGTTATTAAGAACATTATGTCCTATAAATATGGCAAGCCAGGATATATGAAAATAAAGCATAATCATAATGAAACATTGAAGAGAATACAAAGAAGATATAAAATTGACAGAACTGACATAGAAAGGGAAACAAAGCACTGTAATAATTTAGATGGTGATAAAGTAAAGAGACAAATATTTTAATATGATGTTTCTAGGAAGGTTCCATTAAGCATTGAAAGTATTGAAGATATAGTTATGAAAGAAGGGGATGAAATAGATAGCTTAATAGATAAGTATGTAGGATATGAAAGTTATAAAGCAATAATAATAGTTGATGTAGTTTTATGTGTAAGGTTTCATCATTTTAATTATTTTGAGGAGGATGAATATAGCAGTTATGGTTTTGATTTTCATAGTGGTAGACACTTAATGGGTTCTATAGACCAAGATAAAAGAACTGATGTAATGGAATACGCAGTTGCAACAATATGTAGAAATATTGATAATGGAAGGGATATAATGAATATTGTAGGAGTAAAAAACATAAGGTTTAAACTAATTATTGATGAACCTGAATAATAAAACCATACTATGATTATAGCATGTATACCTTTATATGTTATAATTATAATGTAAGTATAGCGTTTTATATATTGAAGATAAAATCCTACAAGGGACACCCCGCCTACATTTTTTACATAATTATAGGCTTGGATGTACACTTAAAGAGAGAACACCTATAGATAATAAGGATGGAAATTGAAAGAAAGTATTGTAGCAAATGCATGTTCAATCAAAAAGCCGACAAGTTTGAAGAAGGGTTCAAGACTTGCAATATATGTAGAGCAAAAAGTAAAAGACACTACCACAACAACCCTGAAAAATACAGAGAATACAGAAGGGACGATAGAAATAACAAGCCTGAAAAATACCAAGAAAGGCAAAGAGAATACATGAAGGAATGCAAAACAAGAACGCATTACTGTCCATTATGTGATGTTGCAGTGCAACTAAAAAGCAAAGCAAGACACGAGAAAACAGCATGGCATCAAGGAAACCTGAGAAGAAGCGAGAACCCTGAGGAGAAACTGCCAGAACCTGATGAAATCAAAATCATAGATGGCAAAAGCATTTTAGGTGCTTGACATGTAGAGCCAGTTTTCTACCGTATCAATGGGAGAAACACATAATGGAGAAGCATAGGGAAACTTAGAGTGATTGATACAATAATATGAACACTATTGTATCATTTACTGATTAGGAGTGATGATATAAAAGTGATGAAATGAAGGAGGGGAGTGATGTGGTTGCTGTTCTATGTTTTGTCCGAGAAAGGACACATCGTTTTTAGACAGTTCGTTTTTTGATGACAAATAGTTTTTGCAATATAGTTTGCAAAATATATTTTTTGAAATGGATGAGGTGAGGAGATTGAGGAAATGATATTTTGAAGGGTAGTTGGTGAAATGAATGAGGCGAAGAGGAAGGAGAAAAGGATGGCAAACATTTTGGAAAAATGATGAGAAAAAAACGGATGAGATGGACAAAAAGGAATGTAGAAAAATGATGAAAACGAATAAGGGTAGAAGATGGAAGATGGAAAAGGTTGTAGGGGGGGGGGTATGTATGAAACAATTTTTTGCGAGGCGAGGCCCCCGACGCTGACATAGGGGTGACTTCTTTGGTGACAAGCTCGGCGGGATGGAAAAAATGCTATTTTGGCAGCTTTTTCGGCCCAAAAACGAAAATTAATTGGATACTATAAGCCTATGTTCCTTACTACTTAACGTGTTGTTGCAACCTACCCATGTGCCGGGTTGCTGCAACGATTGGGTCGCCTTCAGGATCGCATTTTAGCCTTTCAGTTGATCCGCCTTGGCGGCCCAGCCGCTTTGCTGCGCTTGACTGAGCGCCGTGCAAAAAGAAGGGAGGGTCTTAGCGACTTGGCCTCAAACCGCTTTTTCCGGGGTTGCTTTGGATGCACTGAAGGAGTGGGAATACCCTTGCCCCTATCCTCAGGTGCGCCGTAAAAAGCTTCGTTTAAGGTTACACAGATCGTCAGATTGAGTGTGAGAGAAATACGAGGTGTACGGCGTGGTGCTTTGTCATGCTGCAGTAGGAGCAGGTTTCACTTAGAGATTCAGACAGAAGCTCACACAAAGTGAGGTTTTGTGTGAGGCGGGGTGCTAATCCTAGAGATAGCGCACTACTGTTTTGAGCATGTTTCTCGTAGGAGAAGTTTATGTTGGTATGAGAGAGATTTATGGACATTTGTTTTGATTGCGAGTGCAATGCCACTTGCGTGCAGGCGTTTGAATGCTCTAGAAAATTAGCACGCAGTTGCGCGTGAGCGTTTATTCATCCCGTTTCAGCTCATTGGTGCAGCGGCCCCGGCGTCCTCCAACACGGTGCGCGCAGTCCTGGTAAACACGCTGCGCTCCCACTTTGTTTTCGCCATAGCATCATTTGTTCTCATGTTAAACAGGCACATTTTTTGTCAGAATTGCCAGCAACTTTGCAAACACAGTGCCCAGACCTGGAAAACAATTTTACAACGCTCATCAGGTGAGTGAGCGCTTTTCCAATTGTTTAAGAGATGGTCCCATGACATTGTTGCTTGGGTGGGGCAATTAATTTGTGGACAGATTATGCCTTTGGGTTCACTGTGAGGACGCTGACAAAATGGGACATGGACCCCGGAACACTTCAAGTCGAACAGTGTGGCACACCGGACTTTTGTAGGTAATGATACACAAAAAGAACGGGTTGTGTCGCTCAACAACATGTTAACACACGCAATTTCGTTTGGTTTTGTATGCCGAGCCAATAGTTTTTTTGTTGTCTCATTTTGCGCAACAGCGGGGAAAAAAAGCATGGTGGAGCTCTTTATTAATTGTTGATGAGAGTGTGCGAAACCATACGAATTTGCCATGACACTGTCGCCTTGGTGGGTGCACAGATTTCCAGCTTCTATGACTATGACCTTTGGGCTCACTGCGAGGACGCGTTTCCTGAGAAACAAATGTTTGCGGTTCTCCATGCCAGCGCCCAAGTTCTGGAAATACACACAGACATCAGCTTCGATTAGCACTTGTAGTTTTGTTGTTTCAAGCTGAGTGACCGAGTTGTCGTTTCAACCTTGAGAGCACCAGCTTGGTGTTTCCTTCAAATCTGGAAAGCGTCCAGGTATTGAAACGCCAGCTCGGCACGGTTCTCGCCATGGCGGCAGCTATTGATGCTGGAGGTTTCTTCCAGTCTTTCTTCATCTTGCGTTCGTGTGCTGGATTTGAAGCGATGCACTGCTCACGTGACCGCAGCGCCTCGGAGCGTATGTTCTAGGGGCAGCGAGTAAGATTCAGTGTATGATGTCAGATCCCCCCTCCACATCATGTCCAAAGACGGCCCAAATGAAATGCAGAATATGGACACTTGTTTGCATTGACATCATGCCTGCGATGTTTGCAATCATCAATGTAGTGTAACAGCATCAACTGTGGCGTACTCTGTGTCTGTTGTTGGGAAGATGGTGTGTATGTGGTATGCCGATTGGTTTCAATATGTCAGTTTGTTAGCTTGCCGTGCATCGATGTGTCTGACAACGCTGTAAGCCCTGAGGAGTTTATCATTTGGCTTGAGCGAAGCCCATTGCTTCTGAGGCATCGCGATCTCGACGATGGCAGCAGGCAATCTCCACACTTCGGGCGGCGATTGCAACGCTGCAGGCAAGATATTAGGATGCCGTGCAGTTCGAAACCTTCTGTAGCTGACTGTTGTGTATGGTTGCAACATAAAACTGATTGACAACTCTCCTTGTACTTGACCTTTGCATTGGGCCACGTTGGCAGCCTGCCTGCAATTTGTGGAGCTCCAGGCAGATGTGGTGCTGCTCAACGCAATGCTTCAGGGCCTCGGGGGAGAGAAATGGCGGTGGACAAATCAGTTGCTGTGGTACATGAGGCAGTCGACGGTGCAGCCAGACCTGTTGACATTGACATTTGCCACAAGTTCGTACACTGGCAACTGGGCTCTGACTGTCGGATTACTCAGTGAAGTCCATGGAGGCAGATCTTTGCAGAGAGGAGTTGAACCTGATACAGTTTTTCTGAATAACGCTTTGAGCTGCCTGCGGAAAGGCCCTTGGCAAGGAGCTCTTCAAATGCATGCAAGGAATCAATGGGAGGGATGGGGCGTGTGAGGCAGTTGTTGGACCGGAGTAGCTTGGTGGGTAGATCTTGTCCTGTGTTAATTGATTTGTGCAATGATGTGTCTTGCCTTTGCAAAGACGCAAACGACGTAGCATGACATGCGCGGGGGCCCAACATCAATCTTCGGTTCAAGATTCGCTTGGATTCAGCTTGCTTCGCACCGAAACATGGATTCCTGACAGGATGCAGCGATTCGGGCCTCAAAGTGATGCGTTCAGCTTTGCAACCATTGTGAGCGGCACAGCAAAGGCAAGCTCCTGGGTACTGGCAGCCCAGTGCCTGCACACTGCTGGCAGTTCTCGGAATTTGGTGATGCTCAACTCCATGCTGCACGCATGCAGCAGAGCTTATTTATGGGGAAAGGCGATTGCAATGCTGCAGGTCATGCCAGAGATCATGACAGAGCCGGATGTGATTTCCACCAACACGGCCCTAGCAGCTTGCCAGCGGAGCCACTGGGACATTGCCCTGGCGGCCTGCACGCGACGTGACTCCTTCACCGCGACCGCCTTGGCCGGAGCCTGCTGGCAGGTGGCCCTCGACTTGGCAGTGGACACCATCGGCTGCAACGCGGTTTTGGAGGCGTGTGCTTCGGCCAGCGCCTGGCAGACGGCTCTGAGCCTCTTGGATCACATGCGCCGCAGAGGGCCGCGGCCAAGCAGCGCGAGCTTCGGGTCTGCGCTGAAGGCCCTCAGCGAGGCGCCCGAGGCGCTCGGCGCCTGGCGTCGGCCGCTGCAGTTTCTTCAGCTCGGCGAGCAGTGCGGGCTACAGTCGCCAGTGCTGCGCTCCGCGTGTGGCGCTGCGCTGGCGGTGCAGTGGCGCAGAGCCCTCAGTGTGTCGAGGCTCAGCGGAGATGACGTGGCCTTTGCATCCGCAGAGCTGGCGTTGGTGGAAGCTCCGTGGCAGCATGCCCTGCATGTGGTTTTGTTGCGGGCTGTGCAGCGGGGCCAAAGGAAGGATGCGGACACTTTGTCCATCCGCGCCTTCTTCTCTCAGTCATGGTGGCACGCTGCCCTGCACAGCTTTCAGAGGCAGGATGGATCCAGAGGTCTCCTGCGAGGTAATGCTGCCATGCTGGCTGGGTTTGAATCCGCACGGTGGACCATGGCACTCTCTCAGTGGGTGTCTATGCGACGTCGGCAGGTGCAAGTCGACCTGGTTGCTCATGGGAGCATTTTGTCAGCTTACAGGAGGGCCTTTGATCGAGTTGCACTCTGACTGTTGTTGACAGAGCTGCAGATTTGCAAGCTGGAGTCGAAGAGTAAATAAATATGGCCATTCACCAGCTTTCAAACTCAAAACCAAAGAACAATATGTTCACACCAGAAACCTGGCCCAACATCTTCCAGGAAGGAGCTGCAGTGGCGCCGCTGCGTGGATTCTTTGTCCTGGATGCCGCCGGAGCATGGGCTGCGCAACGCGGCGATGGCGGCCTGCGCTCAGGCGGGTCAGCAGCACACGGTGCCCGGGCTGCTGCGAAGGCTTCGGAGACTCGGACCTCGGAGCGCGCCGTTGGGCTTCGTCGTTTGCCGTCCGTTTTTGGTCCTTTTTTTTTGGTCAATATATATATATATATATATATAAACCCATAAAATACGGGACACGCCTTGCGTCGGGAGAGCTGCGCCTTTCTGAGGAAGGACAGAGTGAAGGCCGACGTGATCTCCTACAACACCTGCATCTCTGCGTACGAGAAGCTTCTTGGCGTAGTTGTACCACTACTGAGTCTCGTAGATGTTGGGAAGTGGGCCAAGCAACACACACAGAGAAGGCGCCTGATCATGGTGAGGTTTGGTCTTTCAAGCTCCAATTCTGCAATGGAGAGGAATTGGAGCAGGGGTTTTTGGCTGCAGGCACACCAGATGGAAGCAGTCCCTGCAGCTGCTGGATGAACTGTTTTGCAGCTCAATCCAGCCTGACGGCACCACGCGCCTCGGCCCAGCGCACGGCTCTTTCTTTCTTTGCCCTTCACCTGGACCCAAGCCATCCCAAATCCCCCTGGCGACTTTTGCCCAAAGCATGGAGTTGCCCTCCCGAACGGCCCGAGTTCCCATGAAAGGTACGACGCCCTCCTCGGCACCTGCCGTGTTTGGGTCCAGAGCCTGGCGTTGCTGCGGGAAAGGAGCGGCGTCAGCCTGCAGGGCGCCAACGCGGCTCTGGCGTCCCAGGTGACGTTTGGAACAGCCGAGAGCCCCAAATGGAGTCAAGGTTGGTTGGTTGGTTGGTTGGTTGGTTGGTTGGTTGGTTGGTTGGTTGGTTGGTTGGTTGGTTGGTTGGTTGGTTGGTTGGTTGGTTGGTTGGTTGGTTGGTTGGTTGCTTAATTAGTTAGTTACAGCCTGAGCGCTGTACAATAAATCGGTCGGAGACTCATGTTTGAGAACGTTCAGAGTGTGTATGTATATGTGTATGTGTGTATGTGTGTATGTGTGTATGTGTGTATGTGTGTATGTGTGTATGTGTATGTGTATGTGTATGTGTGTGTGTGTGTTTCCATGTAACAGGGCGTGTGTGTACAACTCCGGAGCCAGGGGCGCTGAGTTTCTTGGCGTTGATTTGCCAGGTTGTACTGATTGCATTGCTTTGCAGGCTGAAGCTCACACGGTTAGCAACAAGAGCAGTTGCCACCTACCTTTTGGGCAAATCCCAGGATGTCTTCCGTGCTTGCGCGGTATTGCTTCGTTGCGAGGTGGTTAGGTGGTTAGGTGGTTGCTTGATTGCTTGCTTGGTTGGTTGGTTGGTTGGCTGCCTGGATGGCTGAGATTAGTATTTTCTTTCTGAAAGTAAAGGCCGGCCTGGGAGGGGTGCAGGCGCCCTGGGGCCAGCAGCTGCAGCAGCTGGCCAAGCTGCGCCGCGCGTCACTGCGCCCGGATGTGATCACCCACAAGGCGCGCCCTTCGCGCAAGCGCGCGAGCGAAGGGGATGCGGGAGGACGTGAGCCACACCTCAGGGGGAACTTGCCTGAAACAACGGATGTTTGTGACTTGGGGGCACATTCGTTTGAATTGGGTTGTAATGACTCACCTTTGCGGCTGGTGAGGAACTGATCTCGTCCTTCACCCGTGTGGGCCAGTGGAAGCATACCTTGGCATGCCTGGTACCAGTTCGGCAGCAGGGACTCGCAGCATTGCGAGCAGCAAAACGGGCGAGGAGCTCCTTGTGCTTGGCCTTTTCAACCACATACTGTCGAGGTTGCTTGTCTTGCTATGGCTCCCCTGCCTCCCCAGTCAGAGATGGCTTTTAGTTTTTCAGGCTTCAACCTACAAGCAACAAGTTGTGCTCTTCACAGAGCGTGAGTGTCTTGAGCCATCAGCGGCGCAGCTTGCTTATCAAGTGACAAGCATGAAGCTCCGCACCTATAACCGTCTTGCCTGCTCAGCTTGGAGCTCAAAACATGTAAGCACCGTTACGTACTCCCAACGGACATCCAACCAACTATAGCAAAGCATCATCCTCAGCTCGCAGCCATGCAAAGGGACTCGTGCTCGCACCACCAAAGCCGTGATGCGTGGGGCCACAGCTTCCAGCTTCAAGAACAAGGACGCACTTGTAAGGCACCAGCAACTCAACGCTGACGGCGATTACCTGCAGTCCTCTTCTAGGGCTGTTGTTCATGGTCATGGCCAGTGCTGATTCCAATGCAAATAGGTGGCGAGCGCTTTTGGGGGGGCGGCAAGATTTCATTCTCGGTCTAGCCAACGTCGGACGTCGTGGAGTGTCGAGCCCAGATGGCTGAGGCGCGGGCGCGTTCAGTGGCTGCGGCGTTGCCTGGGCCTTTCTTCTTGATTGGCCGTTGTGCCGTGTCACTTGCTCCACCAGTCCAAGGCAAATCAAACTTGCTAGTCTTAGGAGGAAACCTACGAACCCGCAAGGAGTGTCAGGATTCAGTTATGGAAGGCACGGGAACATGTCAATGTCATTCAATGTCTATATGCCCTGCTGAGAGCATGAGTGGATGGGCCACTCTTGGGATAGTGCAAACAGAAGTCGAAGGAAACCAAGCACACTGCATGCGTCCCTAATTTTGAGACAGCCAAATGTGACAGAACACTCTGCCGATCGCCACCTGGGAGTGTCCTAAACTGGAGGGAAACCAAAATGGAGCCCAGTCACTTTTGGAACCCGATGTAGGAAGCACATTTTCTTCGCGCTCAAATGTGTTGGCTGAGTGCCGGAGAGATTGACAGTTGAGGTGCTACTGCCAGCGAGGCAAGGCCGAGGCCGGCTCCAAGTTCTTGTAGCGCTTGGATAATTTTTTGAATTCAGGGACGCCTTCATTTGGTTTGTCGATCCTTGAGCATGCCAAGAGACACCTCTGACGAATGAACCTCCGGGTGGTTAAAGGGGCTATCCAATTTCAGCGAGGATCTTGCGTGTTGGAGAAACACGCCTCTATTGATCCGGCAGGCTTGTTCAGCCAGGGTCAACATTGCTTTTGAACACTCGCCAACTCAACACTGGCTCTCGTTGTGTTCCCAATCAAGCCAGGAAAAAGCTTCAATATTTGCCCTGTGTTGCTTCCCGGCCTTGCTCAAAGAATGTTGCAACTCGCTTCGGTCAGGACGGTGCCGTTTCTGGAATTTGCCCAGACCGCTCGGCAAGATGTCGCGCGGGCCCCCAGTCGCCGCTCAGTCTCAGCTGACAACTTCCTGTAGTGATAGTGAGTGGCAGAGGACGGCTTGGCTACGTTTGTACTACGGTTGGAATCAGCTTGCTCCAACATATGGACAGATTAGTGGTTTGGCGCAATCACATTGGTGAATGATGAGATTTTAAGGATGACGTTTACTCGTCAGGGGGGACTCAATTGTGGATTCTCTTCTTCACAGACAACAAGTTACAGAATACGTACGCACGTGCACACATACACTCATGCACGCATGCGACGCATCACATCTTGCCCCTCTCTCCATCTCTTGCTCTCTTCTCTCTCTCTCCATCTCTGGGCTTCATGGCAGAAAGAAACAAGTTGGGGCTGACACATGCCAGCCACAGGCCCAACCCTTCCCTTGCGAAGCCTGGGAGAGTCTCGCTTGAGCCGAGGCTGAGCTGGTGGACCAGCTACAGGCTGAGCAACGGGCGGGATAGATGATATCGTTTCAACTGATACGCTCCGTGTTAGCTCTCCTCTTGATGGCTACCAGAGAGCCGTCCTTCGCACGCAAAGGCATGTGCTTGCCAAGTCTTGGAGTTTCGGAAGCATGGAACCATAGCCAGCCCTGCAAATCGGCTTTGAGACCTGCCAGGGCAGCTACCCGGAGCGCTTGCGCGCCTTGTCCACGGTCGTGTGCGGCTCCCGGGGTCCCAGGGTCCCAGGGTGCCGATTTCCGGGTCGCGACGCCTGGAGCTCTCCGCGTAGGCTGGAGACCTGGCCTGCGGAGTCGCCGCACTGGCGAGTGGCAGGCGGGTCTGTTGGCTTTGGAGGGTCTAGGGTCGAGGTGGGGTGCTGGAGGCAAGGCTCGGAAATGGCGACATCAGAACGTGTCTGCACTTGGCAGTGTGAGGAAATCCGAGTGTTTCAAGCACGCGCACGCGTTGAATACGGTAGCGCTGAATAAGAAGATGGGACCCCAGGTCTATTTTGTTGGTTGTCTAGAGCTGAGGGAATGATCGATAGGGATAGTTGGGGAACATTTGCATTTAACTGTCAGAGGTGGAACTTTTTGGATTTGTTAGAGACTACTGCGAGAGCATTTTGCCAAGGATGTTGTCATTGATCAAGAACGACGTTCCGAACCAAAAGCTATGCCAACTGGAGATTGGAGGTCGCTATTTGCAAATCCGGCTTTGTGGCGCAACGCATCTCTCATTGGGAAGAATCGATGTGGGTTTCGACATGAGTCCAGTTCCCAAGTGTTCTAGACTTCCGAAGGTCATGAGTGACTAACATAACATATCATGCAGTGTGGGCATTGTGCCGGTGTGAATCCGCTGATGTGCCCTGCGCTGTTGCACCTGGATACCCAAGGGCGACGTAAGACGTGCAAGCCCGCCTGCAGGGAGCGTGTTGCTGCCAGAGGACAGGTTCAAGCAGCTTGTGCAGGCCAGGGTGATGAGAAGAATGTGGGGGGGGGGGCGGGGGGTCGGGGGGGCCCAGGCACCGGACCCGAACAAATGCTTTGACGGATGCTTATTCTTCACATCCTTTGCCATCTCGTCCGTGTCGCTCCCAGGAAGTCAAAGACGCGAGCGCAGAGGCGCCTTTGCCGGGCCGTAGCGTGCAGTGTGGGGTTTGGCGCCAGCAACACTTGCTGCACGGATGCGTTTCGGTGTCATTCCGTGACGGCCTGAAAGCCTGTACTGCAGTTGAAAGCAGCCCCACAGGATCTCATTGGTGACCCGATATGTGACTCATTTTGCTGCGCCTGAGCCAAAAGACCCGTTTGGAAGCTCGAGGTCTTGAGAATTCTTGCTGTTTTTTGCATTCCCCACTGAAACAATTGAACAAAGTTCCCTTTTGAGACACGCGCCCGGTGTTCAGGACTTGGACCCCTCAAGTGCTGCAGCTGTCCTGCGAGCTCTTTGTGCCGGGTTGCCTACACAGGGCAGAGGGGCGGAAGGGCGGTGCGAAGGAGCCATCGCGTACCACATGGGTGTGGTTTTTTTGAGGGGGTTGGTTCAGCAAGCCACCAATTTCGAGGGTTTTCCCTTTTCTAGAGAGAAACCCTGTAAAGTTCCAGCAAGGCATTTGCTGTGAGCGATGTACATTGCGTTTCTTCGAGTCAAGCTCAGGCTGTCCATGGAAGAACCGTCCCGCTGCTCCTGGATGTAATTGCTGGGCCCTGAGAGGCATCCTCGGCAAATCGGTTCAGGAGGTGCACCATGGAGCCAATCTTCTGGGTCCCAATTTTTGTTTGGATATCCAAGGTTGCCGCGCCATGCGCGCCTGAAGTTGTTGAGGAAGGGCTGTTAGGGACAAGACTGAGGCCAAAACAAGTAGCACCACGAGGGAGCATGAGATAGAGGCTGCACGAGCCCTCATCCTACCCCTGACTGGAGTTGCCCGGTTCCGGACGTGGTCAGTCAGACACTGAGCACTGTTTTTTTGGAAACAACCACCAAAGTTTGCCAAAAGCATCGAGTTATCACTCCTGACTACTCCTGACTCCCCGGGCAGGGCTGTCGTAGGCGGGCTTTGAACGGCGGCAGCACTTTGTCGCGCCAGATATGTGTGAATCCTGTATATGAAAAAACAATCTGGTGGATTTGCCGACATCTCTGAATCAGGTCAAGGAGCACGTGCGCCTGGCCGCGAAGCTGCCCCTGGAGGATTGGCAAAGCATGAGCCAGTCGGTGCTGCCCAGTAGGAGTCGAGTGCGACATATGGGCGCGTTTTGTTGTTGTTGTTGTTGGTTTTTTTCTTCTGGGTACTTTTTTCGTGGTTTTGAAGGGAAGCCAAAAAGGAAACCAATTCTATGAGACACCCTGTCTTATTTGAGGGGACCCGTTTTGGTCTGGATTGAAGGGAAAACCAAAAGGACACCATCCGTTTCAGGAGTTCCCCATCAGACAAACCCACAAGTGTTCACGCCATGTGGGTAGCACTCTCAAAAGGGCTTCAAGCGGTTCCCGCCACATTGGGAACCTTGGAGCGTCCTGCGCAGTGGAGATTTTCCTTATCATGCCAGTGTCTGGAGGTCAAGTATCTTGGTTTGATGGACATGTATTCTGAAAGACAGCTTGTTAAAAGGAAATTCTCTTCCACTGGCCTTTTTTTCAAGCTGGGCTTTACACGGGTCGAGTTTTAGGTGCTCTCAAACAAGCCTCACCTGCAAGAGCAGCTGCCTTGCAGGTCGTCTTCTTGAGAATGTTTGGGTTCCAAGCAGCCTTCGGAGTTGCTGCTATCTTCCAAGTTACGCACTGTGCGGCGGCAGGAGCTTGTCCAGTGTGTGTCGGCGTTGCAGACGGCCCCCTGGGCACACGAATTGAAGGCGGGAGAGCAAGGCACTGGGCTGGCTGTGACAACAGCTATACCGAACTGAAAGATATAGGTGCAATTCCTGGTGTCCTACTATTTGCTTTCACGTTTTTGTGTCCTTCTGTCCCTACGAATTTCTTGTGTCCTAGTTGCACTGCTCGTTGCGTTCACGGTTTTAAGGCTCCTGAGCGCCAGGATTCGCCACTCAAAACCTTCGCGACGCAGGCGCGCCTGTGGTGTTTGTCTTTTTGCTTGGTGAAGACGTGTCAGCTCAGGCTCCGCCTGTTGTGTTTGTAGGGACACCCATGCACACACCCACACAGTGTTGCCAAAGCCATGTGGTGATCTTATGTCTTGCTTCACAGGAAACGTAAAGTTTGACCATGACAGGCATGGAGCCTTGATCTCCGGCCAGCCGTCAGGCCGTGAAGCGACTGACTGCTGGCAGGGAATCCCTGGCCGGGGTCCCGATGCGCGCATTCGTGGCATGGAAGGATATGGCTGTGGGTCAAAGACATGTACCAAACTGGCGCCTTGGCAAATGGAACCAAGGACTAAAACCTGCGTAACCCCAGTTCTTTAATTTTGAGCCGCACCAATACGTTTCAGCATGACCGGAGGTCTGGTTGGATCTGGGATGTTGTTTTCTGAGCCGACTTGTGCCACAGGAGCACTCTTGCTTTCGCTGGCCAACTCGCCAGAATTTGGCTGACTATCAGTGTGCATCGGTTGCCTGTGCCAGTGCCAATCATGATTACGCTTCTGTCCCAAGCCGCCGCTTGTACTGGTGTTTCCAAATAAGTAATCATCGAGCTTCCGGGGCACTCAATGCACTGTGCAATATCGTGCAAAGCAGATGGAAATCAAGGACAAATCCCTGGAGTTAATATTGTTACACGCCTCCAAGCAGCTGGGCCAAACATTTCCAAGCGCTTTGATGCAGACATTTCTTGGAAACCAAACGATGGGTGAACTTGCGTTCTGGTTCGGACCCTTCTTCCCTCACATGCCGGGAGCAGGAGTTGGATATTCAAGGGCGGCGACCGTTTGCCTTCCGCCGTAGAGACCCTCCGTGTATATCCTATGAAAGGGGTACTGCTTCCTTGCGTCCTTCCTTGCGGCCCATTTCAAGGGGGTCAGCTTCCATACAGGGGTGCGATCATACGGTTAGCATTATGACTTTGTAACCAAAACCAGCCCAAGATCCGCCCTCAAAAGCTGCAACCCTGCCCGAAACCCAAATCTGCACTGAACAAACTCATGTGATCACCGAGTTTGCCTTCAAAGATTCAAGCTGGAATTGGGGCGAGCCAACCGGTGGGGTGTTGAAGCAACCATTGGTTCAACAACCTCCTTTTTGGTGCCGGGGCTAGTGTCATGTTCAAAACGGACAGGTCTTAAGATGGAAATCCCTCTGCTTCAAACAACCAAGACAGGGTACCCTCGAAAAAGGACACACCCATGTGGGTCTGTCTCAATTTTCAGGCAATGGTTATTGTCCTTTTCTTTCCCAAATGGCAGTTGGTCAAAAATAGGTACCCAAAATGGAACCCTGGTAAATGGAACCAGGGACTAACACCTGCGGTCCCCCGGTGGGTTAATTTTGACCCACAGCCACATGCCCTTCAAAAGGCGGAGGTTATGGACCACATGTGAACCGAGTGCGGATTCACATTGGGCCGCCAACGGGCGGCTAGTTCCCCATGATTGTGTCCTGCCAAACAACTACCATACCCAACACAACTACCCAAACCGATTCTCAATTCCGCCAGACCTTGCAGCAGTTGGTGCTGCTGCTGCGCGCTAGTCAGAAGTGGGGTCAGACAGGGGGCAGGCCCAACTTGGTTCGCTTCGGGTTCGTCTCAGGACTTTGGGTGTCCATTTTGGTTGCCCAATTCAACAAAAAATGCAAGCCACAAGTTCGGAACCCTTGAAAAAGGCGCAGTATGAAGTACCAACCGAAATTGGGCATGCAATTGGATGGCAGGAAACCACCCACACATACATGTGTCTATTCTTTGTCATCTAGGCACAGTTTTCATTCTTGCGGTTTGGCAGGCGGCCTGTCGCCGCAGAGCTGCAGAGACGTCTTCTGCGTGCTGGGGGCTCTGGGGTTGGCCTCAAGCATTGACGGACAGAAATCCTCAAATGAAAGGCGCGCTGCGAGTCGCGTTGTTTGTGGCCATGCACATCGCCGGATTCTCCAAATGGTAAGCCTTTCCGTTTTCCAATTGAATCCTGGCGGATTGGTTTTTATGCCTGAAGTTCGGCCCAGATATGAGTTTCAGCGCAAGGCGCTCAAGACTCTGCCAAGCGTTTCGCCTCCAGAACAACCCAGTGGAACAAAAACCATTCCCAATGCAGCGAAGCGTGTCACGGGTTGCTTCTCTGAGGTATCTGCACCGAAAGCTGTGCTTCTTGGCTGCTGTGTGCCCACCGTGCGTCGAGTGTGTTTTGCAGTGGTGCCTGCGTATTGTCCTCTTTTTTTGTTTCTGAATTTGTTGTTGGCCCCCATTTCTCGAGTGAGCCTCAGGTCACCTGAGGCAAAGGACGTAGAAGGCACCAGTGGACAAGGAGCGGGCAATGTGTACCGATGTGCTAAGACGAAGTTTGTTTCAGACAGCTGGCATGTCTCTGGTCCGTGGTTTGTTCTTCTAAGCTGTCTAGCACACAGCGTTTCACAGCAATGTTGCAAGAACACATAGTGTCAAATCTTGGGGCCTTTTTCATCAGTTCACGTGTTAAAGGGCCACGGTGGTGCGTTTTGCAGGCACAGGGTTGCGTGCCTGCCATCAGTTTTGGGATTGCGTCGAATAGACTTTGATGTCGAGTCTTTGCTGCTGCGATTTATTCGTTTGCTTCCCAGCATGTTTTTATTCGATTGTCCAGATTGCGCTTTTTCCTTGATATTTTTACAACCATGTCACAGAAGCAATAGTTTTGTTTGCCAAGGTTTTTTTGTTTGGTCCCGCATGTTTTGGCACATGTCGCAGGGAATGTATTCCTTTGGCGCCGGCCAGACCTCGAGACCGCGGCGTTCGTGGAAGCTGCGCATGCGCTGGGTGAGGCGCTGGATGGATGGCTGGATAAAGTTGTTTGGATGTGCAGGTTGGCATAAAGCTGGCAAGAGGAATCGGCAACAAGAAGAAGAAAAGAAAGAGAAAGAGGAGAAAGAGAAAGAGGAGAAAGAGAAGGAGGAGAAAGAAGGAGGAAGAAGCAGAAGAAGAAGAAGAAATAAGAAGAAGAAGAATAAATAATAAGAAGAAGAAGAAGAAGAAGAAGAAGAAGAAGAAGAAGAAGAAGAAGAATAAAAAAGGAAGAATAATAATAAGAAGAATAATAAACAAAAGAAGAACAATAATAAACATGAATCAGAAGAAGAAAAATAAGAAGAAACAAAAGAAGAAGAAGAACAAACAGAAGAAGAAGAAGAAGAAAAAGAAGAAGAAGAAGAAGAAGAAGAAGAAGAAGAAGAAGAAGAATAATAAGTAATACGAAGAAATAATCAGAAGAAACAGAAGAAGAAGAGGAACAGGAAGAAGAAGAAGAAGAAGAAGAAGAAGAAGAAGAAGAAGAAGAAGAAGAAGAATAATAAGACAATAAGACAATAAGACAATAAGACAATAAGACAATAAGACAATAAAGAAGAACAACCGTAAAATAGATAAGTTTCAAAGGTGGGAACAGCGTGTTCGGGCCAGGTGGGTGCCCTGCGCGCCAGCCGGTTGCGGCAGGCCCTGCTGTTGGGCCCCCAGAGGCAAGCGAAGCTCACAGGGATACCAGGGCACGCTGGGTCTACTGGGTTCGCGTGTCCATCAAGGTGAACATTTTGAGGGTTCTCAGCATGTCTTTGCATGATTTCACTTTTTTTTTTGTGATGTTGAGGATGATTGTGTTTGGGCGACTGTCATAGGCATGCAGTCTTGTCCGCCATGTTCTCCTAGTTGAAGTTTTTGCCCTGCCTTTTCGCAACACGCCGCTGCATCTGCAGTCCGCTATATACATAAACGTCACAGCTATGCTATGAATTCAATCGAAGGCAGCAGGCGCAAGACGCCAGTGGTGTTCAAGCACTAGATGCATCGGCAACACCGAGAGATGCATGTGTCAACACATACATATACATATATAAACATATGTATACAGATATATATATATATATATATACATATATATATATACAAAGTATGTTAACATGAGCCAGGGTTATTTGTATATATATTTTCATATATATAAATATACATATGATAATCATATATATATATATCTATACATATGTAGCTATGTGAAGAAAGAGAGAGCGAGAGAGAGAGAGAGAGAGACAGACAGAAAGAAAGAGAGAGAGAGAGAGAGAGGGGGGAGGGGCTGCACGGCGGTCATGCTATTGGTCCGGCGCAAAGATGGCCGGGTACATGGACGATGGCTGGCTGCCCCCGGAGTCAGAGTCGGAGGATTCGGAGGCGACGCGTGGGGTGTTTGCGGAGCGACAGCTAGGCTTGAAGCTTTCTCGATGGGCAGTTGGACTTATTCTCTTTCTCGCCAGGATAGCCTTGGATGGTTTTGCGGTCATGGGACTGACATCAAATGCTGCGCAAAGCTTTGCCAGTTGCGCCAAAGTTCTCGGGATTCGCAGGCGCCCGCTTCGGATGCCGACGTACCTGACTACGGCGATGTGAAGTTCTGGACTGAGGCTTTGTGCCCCGAGCCAACAGCTTCCTACCTGATAGGTCTTCCTTGCCTTGGCAGCACATCATGCACCATGTCATGCTGGCTTGAGAAGGAGTAGCCCTGCCCGCAACAAAGCAGCATCATGTCGTCCCCATTTGGCTGTGGGTCAAAAATAGGTACCCAAAATGGAACCCTGGCAAATAGAACCAAGGACCAAAACCTGCGGTCCCCTGGTGGCTTAATTTTGACCCATACCCATTTCGCGAAATTCGTTGGGCTCGCTCGCCGCGGTTTCCGGAAGGTCTACACCCAGCAGCGCGGGCGCGAGCAGGCGCCCCAGGACTGGCTCCTGTCGTACGAGCATTTCGTGGCGCAGGGCGGCTTGGCCGTGAAAGCCGGTGAGGGAGGGGCGTCGTTTTTGGGGGTTCCCTCTTTGGGCTGGTTTCAAGTGAATTGAAAGGACACCTGCAAACTTTTGTGCTTCGTATGGGTCCCGTTTCTTTTTTCTCTTTTTCTTGAGAGAGGGAAGCCCAGGGATCTTTGATCTGACGGAAATGGACGATGCAGATCTTCCAAGCCCGAGAAACAATCTGAACCAAACGTCTCAGACATCGCCACAGCTGGGGTGTCACTTCTAGGTGTGCAACGGGCTTGGCAATTGCCTTGGCCCCTCTGTGTAGAGAGTCAACATTTGCAAGCAAGCCTTGGCGTTTGTTGATGTGGTGTTCATAAGTTTGCAGTTTGTTTTTTCCATCTGGGTTCTTTGCTGCTGTTGTCGCGAAGAGCTTGCAGAGCATATGCCATGCTCTCACCGGAATTTGAGGCTGGCGCCGCTTTTTCCCCGAGCCCTGCTGCATTCTGGACCTCGGGTGTGGAGACTCCGAGCCTTTGCTAAGCGGTGAGGGATCCGAAGTTGGCAGGGGCGCAGGGTGAGTTTTGGTGGGGTGGTGTCGGAATCCGACGGAACGTCAGCTTGCAATTCACTTATCCGGGCCCTTTCCAAGTCAGTGCGGGAGTCAGTCAACTATGCCCAGCCGCTTGAGAAACGATAATCTTCCTGCCTCTTGTGGTAGGCATAGGCAGCGGTGGGAAGCCTGGGGTTTGCTAGCAAGAGAGCAGCGGAGGCTATGTAAAATCAACAGGTGTTGGTGGAGATTGAATAGGCAACCGAGAAGATGTATGGCTAAATAAGTTGGCCTGCTCTATTCCTGCCAGATTCCGTGCTGTGAGCCACGATTCCTGCCAGGCTAGGCTTGGAGCATTTGGTCTCGTGTGCGTGGCTCTAAGGAGTTCATGTCGAAAGCCTACGATGATGGCTTTCACGACATTGTAGGGGTCGACATTGTGCCAGAAGTGCTGGAGACGATGAGGTGCGAAGGGAGTCAAATGAAAAGCTTGTTGCCATCGGCAATCTGTTGCGAAAAGCAAACCCTGTCGGCAAGTAGCCAAGTCTTTGAATCGAACAATGGAACCCCTGGATTAGTCAACTAGGGGTGTATGAGTGAGGGAGGGGGACTAGCCCTGTTGGTCGAACTGGATTTCCTTTCTGGCGCAGCTGCTTGCACCCAGAAGCAGGATTGGATTCGTTGCTGTACTCGTAGTGCTTGCCTGGGTTCTTCGTTCCCCTGGTTGCTTCAAGCTCATGTGAGTCGTTTGTTTTGTAGCTGAATTTGTCGGCAAACAAAACACTTTCCGCAACTGAAACAATGTTAGTGCCAAAAAGAGAAGACGCTGTTGGACTGCTTAGTGAGTGTTGCTTCGGAATGCGCTGCCTTCATCTTTGCTTGCTGGAGGCTGCAAAACGCCTCCAAGCCGGGCATGAAGTACATGCTGGCTGAGCCTTGTCCAGGACTGAAGTAGCCGGCTAACGTCTCTTGCGGAAGCTGGGCTCAACTGCGAGGTTGTTCAAGGCGACCCTAGATGTACAAATAAATGTTATGAGCTGAAACGTGCGAGCCATGAGCCATGCGCCGTTTCACTGCTTAAGCTCTTCCTACCTGCATCTGCAAGTAGAGGAATTCCGCCATCCTATCTGCTCAGGATGCTTGCAGCCTTCCCTTTCCGGATGAGAGCTTTGATGTGGTGTTTGACAAGAGCACCCTGGATGCGCTGTGACTCAGATGAATGAAGCGCATTCAAAGCTGCTTAACGCTGGGAGATGTCGGCGGTCTCGGATCCCGGAATGCCTTGGGCCTTGCGTGTCCAGACGTTCTGAGGAAGTGTGCCGGTCAGACTGCTGTCAGCCGCAGCGTGGCCGAAGCGGAAAGTTTGTCCCCGTTTGCATGTATTCCTTTTCCAAGATGCAGCTTTTTGATTGCTAGAAACTGCCCAGAACTCCAGCTGTTAAACGTCATCCGTTTGTTTGCCCAGACTGAGGAAGCCAGGCAAACATTCGAAAGTGCAAGTGTTTCACGTGGATGCCTTGGCATTCTTTGTGGGCATAGCTCAATGTTGCACATCTAATGTAGCTGTTGCATTTACACATATCATATTCAATATGCAGTGGTGCAGTATTGGGGCGGGTTTCTTCCCGTTTGCCTGGCTTGTTGGTCCGAGGCATGTCTTCAGAGGTGCATCGTGTTCTGAAGCAGGATGGCGTGCCCCGGCCCTTATTGCATATGGTACGGGCAGTTGTTTGCATGTCTGCCCTTCTACAATACAGGGGTGTTCTTAGCTACTGTTAGACGATCAACTGCACTGTCAACACGCACATGTGCATCTGAGTGAATCTATGCATGCCAGCGTGCAAACTCCTCCGCTCTTTCGCGAGGGGGGGATGACTTGATGACTTTGTCTGACAACATGCTGCCATCAGCAAGTGCGACCAGCAAGCACAAGCCAAGCTCGATTCGAGTTTGCGCCACGCAGAGGTGTACTTGTGCGTCAGTCTCAACGTGCCAGAGGAGGCACTGCCAGCGATTGACACCTGGCGTCTGGTCATGACAGAATGCGACAGGCAGGCTTTCGATCAGTGATCTAGAAGAACACTTGTGCCATCGTGGGGGGTGCTTTAGCTGATCTAGCCGGAAAACAGTGAAGCAAGTTCTGAACTTCTCTCGTTTCACTCTTGGGCTTTGCGATCAGGTAAATCAGCAGCAAAGGCCAGGAACCGTTTCTTTTTTTTGGTTGATGTTAAGTTGGTCTCGCTCAGGGGCGCTTTTTGTGTACATGTGTTGGCAAAAGGCAGCTCAGGGAACCGGCAGCTGAGGAGAACACAAACTCGGAGCGGCGCTGGCACGTCGATGTTCGAGTCTGCGAAAACGAGCCTCTTGGCTGCCAGCGTGTCTGAGAATCCCTCGGCCTTTTGCTTCTTTCCTGTAGTTTGATTGTGGACAACACGCAGGCAGAAGCAATGAAACAAGTGACATGAAGTGCCAAGTACCTGGGTTCAGGAGGAAGAAGGGCACTTGATTGGACAAGAGTTGAACAGGTGTGACCGTCCTGCGAAGCCTGCTTCTAGAGGTTGAATGTTCAACGCTCAACATTTGCTGTCGAAGAGTTTGCTAGCAGGAACAGCAGACACCAAATGAGGCCAGCTGGTTGGCATATGGTTGTCTTGCTGCGAGTGGTGTCTGGAGTGCGGCTCGCTTTCTGAGGAGATACGACAGCAGTGATGGGCCACCGAAGCACTTGTACATGTATGTCGCGGAAAAGAAGCATGCGGTGCTGGCAAAAAGAATCAACATCCACCAATCAGCAACCCTGAGTGCTGCATTCATCTGGTTGTTCATCAGCCCTGCTTCATGTTGGGCGCCCACTGTGGGCGCCACAGCTTGTGAGTTGTGAAGCGGTGGCCGCACATGGACATAAGAAGTACTTCGTGAATTGTCTTGCTACAGAGTTCCTTTTGGGTGCCCCAACTATGGTTTGGTTCTCATTTGCTAGTGTTATTCTGGTGAGAAATCCCCATGTTCCCTGCATACCAAGTGGTAGGGAATGTCCAAGCTCATGGGTCGCCTTGTTCCAATGGGATTGGAATGTCTCAGCGTCGTATGACACTTGCCTGTAGGCCCGACCAGCTCAGTGCGGATGCCAAGTGGGAGTGGCAATCCTTGAATCAAAAGTGGCGCGCTTTAAGTGGCCGCAGGTTGCTCCCTTGGGGGGGGGGGGGGGGGCGGGAAGCTTCATGAGCCGCGACTCGAGACATCGTCCAGCTGCGGCTCTTTGCGCCCCGCTCTGGTCGCGATAGTTGGCGCCAAGGCCTGAAGGATGCTGTGGAGGTGTTGAGGCGGCGAGTTGCGGGTCGGTCGCTTTGGGCGTCGCTGACGTTCGACACAACTCCTGTTTGAGAAATCTCTGGTGTCACCTGCCACCTGCCACCTGAACAAGAGGTGCGCAAAAAGGGCCGGCATGATTTTGACAACAAGACAGTACAGTGACACACTGCTCTTGGCACTGGCCCTTCTAGAGCCTGGCAAGGGCTTGCAGAGATCATGATGCTTTCATCGGCTTCGACACTGGATGCCACGTCAAAGAGAACGTTTCAAGAACAGGCCGTTCCACATGTAAGTTCCAGGCACGCGGCCTCGCACGAGACCTTCGAGCCTGCCCGGGATTTAGGATTGACAGGTCTTGACCCATTGTACTCAAAATTGGGCATGTCCACTTTGACCAGGTAGCTGAAGCACTTGCTATGTTGAATGCCAAGAATCTATTTGAGAACTCATCGAGAAGGCGTTGTTAAAGGCTGCAGTACTGGTTGGAGTGCATTGCGGCCTGAAGTGGGTGCCACAAGCTGAGGCACATGAGTTCATTGCCGGAGAACTCAGACCTGCGATTGCAAGCAGTGGATAGTTGGCGTGATGCATTGGGAGATGTGACACATTGAGCCTATGCAATGGTTATTGCAAATTGTTGCAAGACTCCCCAAGCAGGTTTCTACTTGTGACACAAAGCCACATTCCCCATTCTGGGACAGTGAGCGGAGATTGGAGAAACCGATTTAGATTTGGGTGTCCTGCATCAGCTGGCAGCAGGGTTTGGTACCATTTGATCCGATTGCCAAATTCTGCGTACTATAGATAGAATGTGAAGACATGTACACAACTTGAACATAGAGTATGCCATAAGTATGATATGGCTTCATATAACATGTTTGAAGCTAAGACAATATCATGATATAGTACGAGACAAGCTACGCTAGTACAATTAAACATATGGAACAAATGATGAAAGACACATAGCTTAATTCAACTTGATTCAATTTGATATATACATACATATATATATATATACATAAATATATATATATATATATTTGTATATCGGATGGCTTGCTTTGGGCGGAGCACTCCCAGGTCTCCCTGGCCGCACGGAAGATCACGCAGAGCCAGCGGCAGATGTCGCCCAGGGAGCCAATGCCTTGGGTCGGTCCTCCTTGGAAAGAGGGAAAAGGCTGGGAAGTGTGTTGCAAAACAGGCTCAGACTGGGTGAAAGGGCAACCGATTGTGTATTTTTGTAAGACTCTCTGATTTGAAGCAAAACTCAGCAGAGGCCGAGTACTTGAGCTTTTTTTGGGTCTGCGCAACGGCGAAAACAGCGGCACGTGCGGCAAACTCGCCACCCAGATTAGCAGCTTTTCCAAGCGGGCCCGGCTTAGGATTGCAGCGGCTGTGCGGGGAGTGGCCGCGCTTCAGGCAGGTCATTCAAAGACTCCGCAGAGGGCCATGGTTCGTAGCTCGGGAAGGACCGTTTGGGTCTTAACTCTTAAGGAACTCCAGGTCGCGTTCTGTTTACGGCTCACCTATTTCTTGTGGAAGGTGTGGCGAGGTAGCTGGCGGAGAGATGGAAACTGCGGTGCATGTTTTCGCATGGCTTGAACGGATGACCAGTGGGCAAGTGTCGCAAAGGGAGAATTAGTCATTTTAGCGTTTTGAGCAGAAGGATTCAAAGAAAGCAAGTCACTTGTAGCTCCCCCACATCTGCACGCAAGCAAGCATGCAAACAAGCGGGCAAGCAAGCAAACAAACACGCAGACAAAGACATACACAACATGGAAGGCATATTCGCCATTGCCAGGCTTCTGGCAAGCCCTTCGCGGTGACGAAGGCCTGGAATATCGAGGATGACATGGCCCAATTGTTCGATTAAGAGGGATGTAGTGGGGCATCCATCCCAGATGTGGATATAATGAGGCCTCAACCAGATACCGAAGTGTGAACCACATGACTTGGCTGGACGCAAACTGAATCTTGACAATGGATCATACCAATGGAGCAAATTGCGCTGGTGCAGGCGGCTGCTTTGCTCAAGACCCTCTCACCCAGGGTTTTGGCCTGAGCCGTATGCGTCGGCGCAAAGTATGTTCAGGTCTGCAATGTTGGGTTTGGCTACTCAAGGAAAGACCACCCCTTGCCCCCTCACTTATACTTCAAATAGCACTTTATCGGTTATTAAAGTTGTCTACCTGTATAAAGCCTGAAGGCCCCTGTGTATTTAGGCCCTGCCATTTTTTTGGAGGGTACCCGTTTTTGGTTGTATCAATGGAAAACCACAAGGAACACTGAAGCAATTTGGGGGGTGCCCCTAAAACAAGACACATCCATTTTCCTCTCACTTCTTGGTTGATAGTGAGACCCTCTGCAAAAAGCGTTCCACCTTTTGTGGATCCACTGGACAACCCAAACTGTTTCAACCCAAAAGCAAAGATCGGCTACGAAATAGCTACAAAGATGTTTCTTACCAGGATCTTCATCCAGGTCTGCAAGTTTCAATAGAGCAAGAAGCAAGGGATCTGCAGGTAAAGCACCTTCATGAGTCATGCAAACCCTCCGGGTGTAGCCCCCCCAAACAACAGGGATACCCTACAAAAAAGACAAGAACAGCCACACCCGTTTTTTTTTCTTCCCCCCCGGCAGGTTTGCCCCCCGTTTGCACTGAGATCTTTGGGCGAGTGGCCTACTTCGCACCCAGCGAGCTGAGCGCCCGGGGCCTGAGGGCCTGAGGATGAGGCTCCCCTTGCCGCCCACAAGAAAACCAGGTGTCCGTCCCATTTGGGCAAGATGTCGATGTGTTCAATGAATCCCGGGCTTGGGGCTTGGTTTTGGAAAGTGTTTTTTGGCTTGTTTGAGTTAGATACCGTTCCCAAGAAAGGGCTCGTTTATCTCTGGCAGATTCAGTTGTTGCTTTGGCTGATTTAGATGCGATCTTTCTTTTTGTTTAGCTGCTCGGTTAGAGCTCCTGCGAGCTGTGAACCTGGCTGTGCATGGGCCGCAGTTGACATGGCCATAACTGGAAGCTCTGGCTTGATCGATTTGAAGCCCTTGCACGGCTTTATCCAATAAACGCGTCCTGATTGTGCCTCGGCTTTTGTGTACTCCTGTTGGGTTGCTCCAGGTGTCTGAGCTGGTTTCGTTCTGTTTCGATCGCATTGCGATACACCGACCTGGCGGCTTGCTTGCTAGAGTAGCAGTTCTTAGTCGAGCGCTCCGACTTGGATGTCCTAGCTCAGCTTCTCTATGCACCGCCGTACGGAAAACACCGCACTGGTCCAAGGATGGGATGCGAGCATAGGTGTCCTTTTTGGTTGATTTGGTTGACAAATAGAGGGCCCTGGTTTACGTGGTGGTTCAAAGGACATCTATTTTCCGAAAAAGGACACCTGTAGATACGGGGGTCTTGCGACTCCTTCGCCCGGTGCATCCGAGCGTCACTGCGGGTCATGTGCGCATCCATGCGCCTTGCTGGCCGAAGGCGGGGGAGTAGTGAGCGGAGAGCGCGCATGGAGACGCCTGGGGGATTGAACGCAACTTGATTTATGTGGCCCACTCGAACAGTGGCTTCAGGATCCAAAAGCCAAGGGCATGCAGCGTTGCCAGTTTTCGCTGCGGCCATCGGGTGAGGCTTTGAGTTTCGTGGATGGCCTTGAACTACACCAGGCCTCGCGTCGCCGGAGAGCGCGAACTCGCCCCAAAGCCAATGGTACCATCTTGGGGCAGGTGCACCACCCATTTTAGTCTATTTTAGAGGGGATTGGGATTGTTCACTGGGGGCACGGGATTTCGACCATTGCCACCTTTGTTGACTTCCGATGGCCATGTCCTTCGCGATAACCCTGGGTGCAGGCAGCTTTGCATCGTGGGCGCAGGGCCTGCTGGGCTGCAGCACCTCAGCTTACTGGCCGGGTCGTGTTTCGCCGCAAGGGTGCTGGTCAACAATTCGAAGTTTCCCAACAGTACCTCTGATGCTTGGGTTTTAGTTTAGGTTGCCAAGGGAAGTGGGGAGCAAGGTTTTTGGAGATGATGATGTGGATCCAGGGCGGAGCGGCGCCGGTGGACGGATGTAGGGCGGAGCGGGAATCCAGGGCAGAGCGGTGCTGGGAAGACGCAGCAGGTGGATGGGATCCGGGGCAGAGCGTTGCTGGGGAGACGTGACGGCTGGTCGGGTGGACAGGATCTGGGATGCAAGGGAGCGATGCCGGAGACGCAGACGGTGGACGGGGTGCGAGCGCACGCCCGCGCGCTCGCCACAGAGCACGTTCACTGGGCGCGCGTGCAGCGGGGGACGGATCTGGGGCGGACTTGCACTGATATTGGGTTGCTTTTGGGTTCCCGGGCTGAGCCTGTTTTGGGGTGGGAGGACTTGCAACAATGCTCCAAAGTGCCCGGTCACAGAAGCTGAGGTTGGGGCACTTCTTGTCCAAGGACCTGGGACAGAGTCAGAAGTGAGAGGATCTTGAGACAGTGGCCACTCTTTGACCAGTTTTTGAATCGGACTTTTTAGCTGCGACAGGACCCCGCGCTGGGAAGCTTCGCATCCTGGCTGGTTGTTTTTAAAGGGCCAAGTCAAGCCAGCTTGGTCTCACATGGCTTTCATAGAGCATCACACACTTTTGGTGAAGCTTCCTTGAAGTGAAGCCTTCTTGAAGTGCGCATCCCTCCGCATTTCTGGAGCCGAGGCGATTTTTGAAAGAAGCAGCACAGCTGGAAGCTTTTTTCGGCGCTTTCCCATCCACCGCTTGCTGATCAGCAACCTGGCCGAACTTGAACCTCCAGTGCTTCCTTCTGCCATCCGCCAGAGTCAGCTGTGTAAACGTGTCTGAAAAAGCCCGGTATCCCAGTGTGGCACTTCTCTCTAGAGACTCTCTCGCACTTCTCTCTAGAGACTCTCTCTCACATGGGTTGCGAGGTAGCCATCAACACACCTTCGAGCTTTGAGCAAGTGAGGGTCGTTTCCTGCTTCGGGCCTTTGGAACACTTGTGGAGGCATTGAAAACCAGAGTATTCTCATAGGTCCCCAAGTGGGTATGGGTCAAAATTAAACCACCAGGGAACCGCAGGTTTTAGTCTATATTTCCATTTACCAAGGTTCTATATTAGGGTTGCCCTATTTTTGACCCACACCCAAGTGTTCCCGGGCTGAATAGTGCTCTGAAGTGCCTAGAGGCCTCAACAAGCGCCACGTGCGCGGCGGTGGGGCGGAGTTCCGCATGCGCCATGACTGGAACTCCCTGCTTGGCACAGGCAGGGATCGCCAAGGCCATACTTGTATGAACTTTTGTGGAGATTTGGCAGAGCTGCTCGCATGGTTTTGGCACGCTGTGTGAGATGGTTTTGGCCCTGGCAGATGCGCTTGATCTGGCTCCCATGACGGCAGCTAGGCTGCAGGTAGCCATAGATGATGTTTGTGCATGCTGGCCTCATTGCCTGCAGCATGATTTGGCAGCTTCACTTTGCATTCTTTCGAGCAGTCATTCTCACCTTCAAGCATCACCAGTGGCATTTTGCGGCATCACCTGCCTTTATTTCCGCCACTGGCGCATCATCATGACTAACATTGCAAGCATCACTTGCATCCTTTGCATCATTACACTGGCATGCCAGCAGTCCACTCCAATGCTAGCAATTGATGGATACACGGATCAGCTGCTTGGAGGCTATCATTGGGCCCAATTTGCCATGTTCAATATAAGATTGGAGAACTGGCACAGTCTTTTACACTGTCGAATGGGCTCCGATCTAGTCTTGCAGAGTTCTTGGCGGAACTCGCTTTTTGTGAGCACGCCGCATTGCTTTGTGTTTTGTCGCTTCGGAGCGACTTGGCCCTATGAACGCAAACGAGTCGAACAGCTTGTCAGTCTGCATGGACAGAAGCCAGGCAAGAACCACGGAGTTATACCCGCACGCTGATGTGCTGGCTCAGTAGCTTAGTTTCATTGGCCAGCCATGACAAGATCAAGTGCTGAATGCAGTGTTTGTGTGTGTTTTTCATTCGATTCAGCACAGGTGCGCGCTTCAGGCTGACTTGTTTCACCGGATAATTACAAGAGCAAGCTACAGTGAGAAAGAGAGAAAGAGAAAAGAGAGAGAGAGAGAGAGATATTTAACATGCATGCAGTTCCTTCGGTGCGCTTGAAAGGGGGAGGGACATTTGCATGTCGTTCTTGTCTTCCACAGAAGCGAAGGTATTTGGAAGACTACGCGCAGCACTTGTCTGAAAACATCGAGTACAATGTGGAGGCGACCGGCCTTCGGGCTGGATGCTGCTTCGGCACTTCCACCAGATAAACTCACCGCCAAGAATCAACGGCCCACGGGACCCAACGAAAGGTGCTTCTACCTTTTGGACCCACAAAATCGCAAAATGGGAACCCAAGGCTACATCTTCAGGTCAGATCTATTGGTCGATCACAGGGTGAGTAAAGCTTGTCAGGCCTAGATGATTCTCTTGGGACTGTTTAAATCTGGCTACAAAGGTATCGACCAGAAACCCATTCCTCTAGGGGACACTTCCCCATTCTTTCCAGGGATCCTTCTTTCCAGAAACCATCAGAACCCCAGGGGAAACTGCCATCGGTTTTTGGGCTTTCTGTTTCTGTCGGGCCATTTGTCTTGCGCCAAATGGAGGCTGTGGCCACGAAATGTTTTCCCTGAGGTGATGCAGGTGATGGCGAAGGATGGCTCGTTTGAGATGGAGCCTGGGCTGGGGCTGGAGGTTGGCTGGTTGGCTTGGCGCATGCCCGGGTTTGCCAGCCGGCTTACCTTTCATCCACCGGATGCCTTGGGCCGGCCGTGCTTTGTTTAAGAAGCTGCACTTCTTCTCAATCCTTACTGCACTGTGTTGATTCCAAGGGTGCGTTACGTTGCTGACCCCCCACACAATCAATCACTCTCACGAAACATGAGCGTGTTGTTTCAGATCTTGGGATGTCTGCCCTCCTGCATTTCTAGTTCTTCCTTAGTGTTCGGTCAAGCGTGCCACACTGGGTGCTTGCTAATGTTTGCGTGTAAATATTTATGTGTAGGGATTTGCAAACAGACAAACATGCATACACACCCTCACACACGCCCACACACCCACACACACACACACACGCATACACACTTACGTGAGTACACACACACATACACACAGGCACAAACATCTGTGTGTATATATATATATATATGTATATGTATATGATATATATATATACATTATACATACACCGATAATGCAGTTGTTTTATTTGGATTGCTCCAGGCGACTTGACCACATCAGCTCATCCCAAGCAAGGAACTGCCCTTAAACAATTTATTTGAAAAAACAAATCCTGCTTAAGTTCTGTTTAAAGTTATGCATTCTACTAGATTTATGTCCTTGTTAAATGTTAATCAGATTACAATTATGAAATGAGACACACATTCAGGGAAAAGAAGTCCTCTTTAAATTCCAATTTGAAGCAATTATCCCAAGTAGAAATATGATTGAAAAGGAATTTCTACTGAACTCATCTTTAAATCCAACAAACTTTTATTTCCTATTCAAATTCTAATTAGAAATTTGGACAAATCATCCTGGAAAAGGACACCTTTTTAGACTCTAACTTGAAATAATAATTCCAATTAAACACCTGTTTAAACAAGCTATTAGAATCTTTTTCTATTAGTTTTGAATTTTAATTAGACCACTGAAGAACAGAATCCTGGAAAAGACGACACATCTATGTGATATTTATTTAAATCCTTATCTAATTCTTTTTGGATTCTAGGCAGAAAAAAGATAACGCAAGACAGCAGTGAGTTTATTGGAACAAACACTTTGTTTGTTAAAGATCTACAAGACATAAGTCCGATTGATATAAGCGTGAGTTAATAATAATCTGAACCCTAAACCCGAAATCCTTTTTTGTCCTGTTTCTGAGCTGAGGTTTTGTTCGAAAGATGCAAACATAACAGCTATATTGGAGCCAACAGTAATAAAGTAAACACGTTAAAAAAAGGGAAAACACAACACTTAAAACGATAGAGCCACTGACCCAAACAAAGAGGTAACCACTCAACAAAGTTTAAAAAGGAAAATACAACAAGACACGAAGTGAAAAGAAGTTAACAAGTAAGATTCGGGAGTCAACAACCCAAAAGTAAAAGAGTAACATAATAAAACATTAAAGTTTTTCAACCCATGACCTTGAAGTACTATGCTCTGGCCATGCCTTGACAGATTTACTCGTATTTTTTGACTTTTGGATCATTGGCTCTAGAACAGTATCGAGTACTTTTTTGTTTATTTGTTTCGGTTTTGCTCCTTGTTTTTGCGTTTTGTGTTTTTACTTTTGGGTATTGGCTCGAGTATTTTGCCATTGTTACTATTGTTTGGCATTGGTAGCTTTTTTGACTTTTGGGCCAGTGGCTCCAGAATGTTACTTGCTTACATTTGTACTATTTGTTCTTTGGCTGACCAAACCTCAGAGTGAGAAATAGGACAGAGGAAGATCCAAAGTGACTGAACTTTCACAATGGCCTGGAAAAGTTTGGAGCCTGAAGCTTTCAGGTTGTTTTTGGCGCCTGGCTCTGCTGCTTTCCCCAAGACTTCTGACGGACGGTGGATCCATGGCGGGGGGTTCCATAGAGACACATATACATACATATTTATGTATGCATGCATGGAATGTATGTAATGTTAATGCTAGTGCTACTGTTAATGTTAAGGTAATGTAAATGCTAATCGTAATGTGAGTGTTACTGTGAATGTAAAGGTAAATGTAAACGTAGATGTCAATGTCAATACAGCCCGGTATATCCACCCACCTCAGTTGGCGGGAGGTTTGACGACTTTCTGACCCAGGCGCTTTTGTTCCGAGCTCTGAGGGTGCAGGTTACGTTCCTGCCTGGACCGCCCTATATTCGTTGTTCTTCCCTTGACTGCCTGCCTGCCTGTCTGTCTGTTTGTCTGTCTGTCTGTCTGTCTGCCTGTCTGTCTGCCTCGTGCGTCTTTGTGTGTTTTTCGGCTTCCCCGCCAGGGGCGAGTGTCAGACTGATGCCGCATCAAACCCACATGTTGGGTGAACAGGTGAACAGAAATTCTGTTTGCAGCCTTTTTTCCCCCGCACTTCCCTGAAGCCGCGGTTGGTGAGCGCAATCCTTGCGGGGTGAACTGGGGTTCCCTTGTCGGCGAGGAGCTGCGGGGGCCGCGGGGCCGCGGGCTGGCGCGCTGCGGGCGTGTGGTGCTGGCCTCGGGCTTGCTGCCCCAGCACCCGCAGGCGGGGGGGGTGGTTGGGGGGGTGGGGGGTGGGGGGGTGGGGGGTGAGGCCCACTGCCCCAGGTGCCTATCCCAGAAGGGAACTGGTACCCTGTGGTAGTAGAGGTCGTTGTTGGTCCCTGGATCTATTCTGGAGAGAACCCAATATGCCAATGTGGATGATTGGAGGATGGATTGTCCCTGGTGGATTGTCTTGTGGATAATCCTGTAAGCGGCCTGCAAAGGTTCTTTTGCTTCACGCGATCATGAATGATGCAATGTTACACAAAAGGGGCCTTGAGCCAAATGTTGCGGGAGATCAATTGGTCTGAGAACCAAACACAAAACAGACACAAATTTCTTTTGATCTCCAGCACTAAGTATGAAATACTATTGGCTTCACGGCCTTTGGCCGTAGCCTTGATGTCTGCCGTAGCCATGCTGTATGCCGTAGCCATGTGTATTAAAAATGCCGGATTCATCCTCTTTTCTGCTCGGATGAAATGTCCTGGCTTTCGAAATGGAAAACACTATGTGCTGCTTCTTTTTGAGATACCTAGATGTATCAAAGGGTGATGTACAACGCTATGTACACGCGGGACGATTGTGAAACTATTGATCTCTCACTCATGGTATAGTCTTGTAGACGGCGAGGATCAATCATCTGAATTGAGTTCGTGGTGCTGAACGTATGAATCTTCATGGTCAGTCGGATCGACGACACCATCGGCTGCTGCTGTCGGATTGACTGCCATAGTCTCCATAATCATTCCAGGTCGAGTTGCTATAGTCCTTCCACTGCTTCTGATGTCCGCACTGCTTGTTGTAGTCCTTGTACTCCTGTGGGGTCCAGGCTTGTTTCTTCTTGAGGTACTCCTGGTATCGCTCAGAGCTGCGTTGCCTGGTTGCAGATTTGCTGCGGATGTAAACCATGAGAGGACTGTGAGAGTCGGAGTCCTGCGAGCCATTCATGAACATGTCATTGTTCACGTGCTTAAAGCGCTCTGCGGATGAGACCTGGTAATCGAAAATGGCCTTGGTTGGATGGTTCCGCATGAATTCCAGTTGTTCATCATCCATGCCGTTCATCTCGTCCTTCCGGAAAGCCTGCTGGATGTTCGTTTAGTTTGTTTTGCCCCACCCAAATACGAAAGTCATCATCACATCTGGGAATGTTCGATCATATCCTGATCCACACTTCATGTACAGGTGATGACGGACAATGGATTTTAGGGTGCACGAGTCTCTATTGCATACTCCATTCTGTCCACGAGTGGCAAATCTTTCGTTTCATTCCACAGTCTCTGATATGCTCTCATGAGGATGTTCACGAGACCGTTGGCCGGATTGAAGACGTGCTGGAGTTTGCTGTAGGTGTTCGCTGATTTGTTGGGTCTCCGGTGATCGCATCGCATCGTTACAAAGTCACGAGCGGCATGATTTCATTTTGAAGATCTTCCTTTGCTGCTCCATGGCTAATTGAAGGATGGATGTGGAAAACTCCAATGGTAGCGAATGGGAGATCTGCCCTCGTTATGTGGCGGTCGTCATACTCGTGGAGTGACTTGTTGGATGATTTCGGAATCATGCCACGAAACTCATCACTCTGCTCGATATGGAGAACGACGATCTCCTTGTCTCGGCCATGTCCTTGGACAATGGTGCGTGTTGGCAATCTCGGTCCAATGTACTTCTTGGATTCAGTAAACATGGACGGTCCTGTGGTTGCCAAGCAATCCGAGGTCGGAATTTCGTATTCGGGATCAGTGCAACTTCCTGCAGTTCCGAAGAAACATCTGAACATTCCGCATGTGGTTCCCCAATTCTGGCTCTTGGTGGAAATGTGTCTTGCCAGAAGTTCCACTCTTGCAGAAGGTCCGCCACGGACAAAACATGCGATCGGTCTGGATGACCATTGCTTGATTACGATGCCCTTGTAACCGTATCGGATGAACGTCTTGATGAGCATCGGGCCTGAGTGCATTTTGTGCGGATCTTGTGTTGAGCTTGTCGATCCATCGATTCCTTGGAACGATTTCTCCCCGTGCCTTGCGCTCCTTGTATGGCCCGTCCACGGATGGAAGTACGAATGCAATTTCGAAACGTGATTTTCCATAGCTCGGGAACATAGCCATCAAGAGAAGTCCTGGCTTATTTCCAATGAAGTTCCTGGCACGTGTGATGCAGGTCAATGCGTCACAGAGCTCGACGGACCCATCAGGACCCATGTCCACTGGTCGTTTGCATTCCTTATGGATTCCATGCCTTGGATCATGTCGAAGACATCCGGAAAATGATCTGCTCATTCTCTCAATTCGCCAGAGGATGAGATCTGTGATCTGTTTCGCCTTGGATGGATCCATGCGGAAGTATTTGCAAACCTGTTCGACATTCTGGACGGTCTTCTCGAGATCAATGTTGCCGTTGTGGCATACCATCGGGATGATGTCGGTTCCGTAAACTTCGGATTGAGCATTGGTGTAGCAGCAGATGCTGTAGACCTTCTTGATGAAGTCCATGTATTGCTTCTCCGCATGATGTCCTTCACCTTGGAGTGTTGGCTGCCAGTAATCGTTGAATCTGGCCTTCAACCAGAATACCTTAACTCCATGTGGTCTCTCATGCTCAGGAACGAAGTGGAAATCCAGATTGACATCGAGGATGGTTGAGCATTCCCTGTAGTACTCGTACACAAAATTCAGGAATTTTGAATTTCCGAAAGGTCCTGGGTGTACGGATTCCTTCTGGAGGCTGATGTTGTATCCGATCCATATGTTACAAACCACCGATCATTGGATGTGAGAACAGGCCGCATCACTGGTCGCCTTGGAAGTGCAGGTCGATCGCCAGGATGATTGTCGGATTCCGTCTCTTCATCCAGGATGTTCTTTGGTGCTGGCTTGACCTTGGAGACAAGCCTCAATGCTGGTGGCGGTGACTTTGGAACAAGTTTCGGATGCGGCATCGCCTTTGACGTAGGCCTTCCTGCGGGAGGATGCCCTTCTTCATCTGAATCATCGTCGTCGGAATCTGGATCATAATCAACCTGCTCCATGTTGACATTCTCGGGTTGCTGAGAGGCGGATGGATTCTCATCGGCGACTTGCTCCATGGGGCAGTCTGATGTCTCATCTTCCTCATCACGAGCAGGGGATTCCTTCAACGGTGATGCCCGTCTCTTGATCATTGGCTTTGGCACAGGTGCCGCGGCGCTGGATCGTCCGAACATCATATTGAGAATGGGCATGTCTTCGAAGTGATCGAGCATACAAGATTGCAAAGGTCGGATTGGTTGTAAACCGAAAGTGGCTGCGGATGCAGACACATATTTCTTGAGATTCAAAATGGGTCAAGTGCAAACACGCGCATCACGGAATTGAGGAATTGAAAATATGCAAAACGGAAAAACTCATGCATCAGAATTCGTGGACATGCGGATCATGCCCAGGTTCCCCAATAAGCAAACATGGATTCTGCTATACCGACTCCTGCAAAGGCAATGATGTCGGGTCCGTGCTTCGTGTTGTGTGCTAGCCACTCAACCAAAAATGCCTTGTTCTGCAACATGGTACGGAAGGGTGGATGTGCATCTACATTCAAGAGATTGCCGGTGAGGACGGCCTTGATGAGCTCGTCTGCTTTAGCTGAATGCTTGGTCAGCGAATCTGCCAGACAATCTTCACTCCGTACATGTGCAAGGTCGTGCATCTGTCCACTGTTGCTTTCCTTTCTCAACATCTGGATCAAGTGCATTGTTTCTTTCTGTTCCGGTTGATGTGTTGTGGATGCTGTGGTGACAAGATTGTTCGCATCAGTGCGGATGTGTACATCTGCAATTTCGCCCGTTATGTCTGACCAGAGACCGCGAAGAAATAATGCTGAACCGTAACAACGCATTAGTCCGTGCAACTCTGCAACAGTAGTGGACATGGTTGTGGCGGTGATCTTGTGCGTGTCATAGTCGACCAGTGAGCCTCTCGAGTTCGATGAGCCCTGGCGAAGATCTCTTTGTTCTGCAACAAAGATAACATGCGCACGTTGGGATGACTTATCCTCGTTGTTGCGATAGGACGCATCTGGATAGCCAACTATGCGTGTCTTGCCACGAAGGGGCCAGAAGCTCATGCTAAGCGGGATGCGTTTGATGGTTCTGACTGTCTTATTGATGGCGCGAACGTCCTCAATGGTCGGTGATGATCCCTTGGATGCACACCTGGAGAATTGACTACCAATGTGGAACTGCGCTCGCGACTGTAACCAGTTGATCTGACCTAGGACACTTCTGTATGCAGTATGCGTTTGTGGAGTAAGAGGAGTGTCGTCCTTCAGGTGTTTGTCAAAAGTGATCTCCTGCAGTTCGTCGATGGCAACATTCTGATGAACATTGATGTACCAACCGTGCTTGTCATCTTGCTTCCATTGGATGCGCTGTCCTACGAAGAGGCAATCCTTTTTTGTCCTCGGAACCAACCTGAAAATCTTTCCGAAGTCGTGCCATGATTTCCTTCTCGAACACGTCATCCCCCGTCATAAGAAGATCATCTACATGAAGAGACAGTGCTCCATGAACTTGTCGATTCTTGGCATTGTTATCAGAAACAGGATCCATGAGGTAATCAACTGCTCCTTCGAGATCGAAAGTTGTGGATGACTTCTTTTCACTCACCAATGCGGGCTTCGGAAGCTGCTTGCCGTAGTACACGTATGTACAACGGTCTGCCCGGGTTGGCACCAGTCCGTAGGAACGAAGTGCCAAGTCAAGGATGTTCCACCATCTGCGGGGTGCGTCATTCAGCCCGTATGCAGGCTTCTTCATGCGCGCTCCAATGTGTGGTGGATATCCCATTTCAGGAGGTATCTGACAAATGATGTCACGAGACTGATCGTATGCTTCGCCGTGGAGAAATGCTTTCTTCAAATCCATGTGGAATATATTCCAGCCTTTATTTGAGGCTGTCTGTCTGCTGATCATTCTTCTGCTTGTCTTGGAAGCCTCGGAGGACCCAGCGAGCCTTGGCCTTC